TTTGATTTCCCACCAGATTTAGTTTTAATGGTAACAGAATTGGTGGCAGGGTTATCCTCCCTTTTTTGGAAATCGTAAGAAGTTTTGTTTATGTCAAAAGAAGTGCTAGGAAGTTCTAAATCTAAAACAAAATTATCGTCAGTCTTTTGAGATTTTTTAGCATCTTCCAGAAGTTTTTTACTTACAAAGCCTTCAAAATCAGAATTGTTGAATGAGTTATTTACAGTTAAGGTAATGTTTTTGTCAGGTGGACTCGAAAAGCTTGAGTTTCCACTGAAAATTGTCTGAACTTTCGCTACAGCTACCAAGAAAAGAGTTATCATTATTGTTTCCCCGCTCCAATGACATACCTTCCTTTTCCTTGTTATTATCATTAATGGATGTTTAGTTTTCCAAAGCATGACTTTCACTTTCCACCACTCTCAAAGCTTTACTTGAAAGTTGGAAATTACTTTCTGAAAATAGACTAGGGTCAGTCCCTGTTTGATAAGAATTTTGAAAATTTCTTGAAAAAGTTTTTGATGCACAAAATTCCCTAATGAATTTTCTGTTGCGCCTGAAAATAGAGCCGTTTTCTAATTGAATCAAATATGAACGAAAAGGTAATTTTTTTAAAATTTTTCCATCTTGCCATGGCGTATTTGGCTTAATTTGAATCTTTACAAAAGTATTGACTTTTAAAGGTAGTAAAGATTTTTTGTTTTTCTCAAAGTATTTTTTCTGATTAGTTTGAGTTTTCAAAATGTGTGAATTAAACTTTTTTCTATTAAAATTTTTTGAAAACTTTTTATTTATCTCAGGAATAGTGGATCTTAAGTTCCTGTTCATTAGTGCGTTAGCAGGAGAGCTTTCGCCATTCAACGGTGAGTTTCTAAAATTTAATAGTGCTAAATATAGATCCTTTTTGTCCAGAAAACATTTCTTTAAGAGATTTTTGAAAGACTGAACAGTTCTTTCAACTTGACCGTTCGACTGAGGATACAAGGGAGAAGAAGTTATGTGCTGAAATTCCCAATCTTTAACAAAATTTTTAAACTTTAAGCTGCAAAAATTTGGACCATTGTCGGTCATCAAGGTCTTTGGAATATCGAAACGTGCAAAAACATTTTTGAATTTATTAATTAAATTTTGAGAAGTTACATTGTTATTTAAATTAATAACCTCTACAAACTTGGAATAGTAATCAATGATTAAAAGATAATTTTGTAACTGAAATTGAAAAAGATCCGCAGCTACCTTTTGCCAAGACAGTCTGGGAATGTCGTGAGTCTTCAAAGGCTCCGAGCCCTGAGATCTTCGATGTGTCTGGCAGATGTAACATGATGTTACGATGTCCTCAATCTGTTTTCGCATACCTGGCCAGAAAAATGACAAATTTGCCCTATCCAACGTTTTTTTATAGCCTAAATGTTCATAATGAAGTTTCTGGAGTATTTCTTGCCTAAGAGCTTTGGGAACTACAAGTTTTTGTCCCTTGAAAATTAGATTTTCAATGCAAGAAACTTCATTTTTGAATCTATAATAGAACTTAACACTCTCCGGACAGGTTTTTATGCTTTTCGGCCAACCACTCTCCAATATATTTTTTAATGTTTTTAATTCAGGATCTTCCCCTGTTAGTTTTTGAATTTGTTGCTTTTTACTTTCTGTGATATTGAGTGAAAGTTCAACGGCATAGATTTCAGATTCAATGTCAAAATCTATGTTTTCATTGAAATTTAATTTAGGATTATAGGCTCGACTTAAAGTGTCGCTAAGAATTAATTTTTTGCCCGGTTTAAAGACTAGTTCAAAGTCATATTTTAATTGCATTAGCATTCTTTGAAGCCGTGGAGGACAAAGATGTAATGGCTTTTTTATTATTGAGATAAGAGGTTTATGGTCAGTTTCTAGGCGAAATTTTCTTCCGAAAACATACTGATAAAATCGAGTAACGCCAAACCAACAAGCTAAAAGCTCCTTCTCTATTTCTGAGTAACGAGTGTGAGTTTCTGTTAAGGCACGACTTGCATAAGCACAAGGTCGGTTATTTTGCATTAAAGTCGCAGCCATTCCGCTTAAGCTAGCGTCAACAGAAATAGTAGTTTCTTTATTAGTGTCAAAAAATTGTAAGCAAGGGGTTTTTGTTAGCATTAACTTTAAATTTTGAAATGCTCTCTCGTGTTCTTCATGCCATTGAAAAATAGTGTCTTTTTTTAACAAAGAGCGCAAAATTGAGGTTTTCTTAGATAAATTTTCAACAAATTTGGCTATGTAAGTGACCATGCCTAAGAAACGTTGTAAATCTTTGACGTTTCCAGGGCTAGGCATGTCAATAATTGCTTGAATTTTAGATTTGTCAACTTCTATGCCTTGTTCGCTTATTTGATGTCCCATATATTTTATTTTTTTACATAAAAATTTACATTTTTCTTGGTTGAAACGAATATTATGTTTTTTGGCAGTCTTAAGGACTTTTTCTAAAATAGAGCAATGCTCTGTAATAGAGCTACTAAATATTATTAGGTCATCGATGAATATCGCACAACCCTATATGTTTCCAAAAATTTCATACATTCTTTCTTGGTAAACCTCTGAAGAACATGAAAGACCATATAGTAGACGACAAAAAGAGTATCTACCTACAGGTGTCCCAAAAGTACAAATGTTTTGACTTTCCTCATTCAATTTTACCTGCAAAAAGCCTTGAGTAGCATCTAACGTGCTAAAAAATTTTGAGCCGTGTAATTTAGAGCTAATTTCGTCCCACGTGGGTAAATGAAATGTAGGTTTTTTTATTGATTCATTAAGCTTATATGGATCCATGCATATACGTAAGTTTCCGTTAGTTTTTTTTACAATTACTATAGGGTGGAGCCAGTCAGTACTTCCCTCCACTCTTTTGATAATTTTTGCCTTTTCTAATTGATTCAAAGTGTATTTTAATTTATCTATTTTGGCCAAAGGTATTTTTCTAACAGGACTAATTGATGGTGCGACATCTTTTTTAAGTTCAATATGATATTCCCTTTTAAGACAGCCTATACCTTTAAAAATATCTTGATATTTATTCAAAATTTTGTTTAAATTAGAATTATCTTGAAAATTTTTATCAATTGTCTGTATTTTTTTTATTAGTTCAAGGTCTAAACAGCCTTTGAGGCCTAAAATTAGTGTGCTATCCAATTCGACAGCGTAAAACAACAAATTACAAGTTTTATTGTTAGTTCTACATCTGAGAAATAGTTGACCGAGAACAGGTAGAGAATGTTTTGTATAAGAGCTAAGTTTGATATTTGTTTTTTTGCAAATTTGACATATTGAAATTTATTTGTTTTAATACTTTTATCGGTATTATATTTGCCATTGCTCCTGTTTCCGGTTTGAATACTGTTGTGTGACTGTTGTTGATCTCAACGCTCGCGGTCCATGAATCCTCCGACACCGTTTCGATTGTCCCCGACTGCCTCGACAGGTGATGGGTAGGCAGACTTCGCTCAATGGAATCTAAAAGTAAAAATCTCTGAACAGTATCTCTTTCATCGAGAGATTGTGTTTCGGGTGCCAGTGTGTGAATGTGTTTGTGTTTAGAGTTTTTGTGTAGGTTATTATTTAATTGCTGAAAATTAGAATTATGGTTATTGTTATTTGGAAATTTTAAACATACATTCGAAAAGTGGTTAAACTTTTGACAACGAGAACACTTAACTCGGTAAGCTGGACATCTCCGAGGTTGGTGTGTTTTCCCACAGTTACGACAGACTTGAACTGGCCTTGTTATCTTCTGCTGGTTTAACCTCGCCCCTGGATTGCTGCTGTTTCGGAATTTGGAGTGGACTGAATGAATATCGCCTCCGTTTGAATTTCCAAAACCATTTGTAATCTGACGGTTATGTTCTTTTGTTGATTCAGAGGTGGTGCAGAAGTTTACAGCCTCCTCGAGAGTCTTGCAGTCTTTGTCAAACAGCTGCTTTCTCAATTTGTCACATCTTATTCTACACACAAGGATATCTTTGACTAATGATTCTCGTATGTTGGACAGTTCACATGATAAACACAAATTTTTGATTTCGATGATAAACTGTTCAATATGTCCGTCTTTTTGTCGACAAGACAGAAATTTATATCTTTCATACGTCAAATTCGACTTTGGTAAAAAGTGATCATCAAATTTCTTCAGCAATAGTTCAAGTGTTTCAGTTTCCTCATTCAAAAAAGTAAAAGTATTATAAATACGAATACCTTGATCTCCTATCAGCGTTAGAAGTTGTGCACATTTGGTTAAGTCGTCCTTTTTGATGATTTCTGTGGCTTTCAAATATGTTTCAAACTTTTGCTTCCAGAACATCCAAGTTTCTGATAGGTTTCCGCTTGAAATGCACATGGGCATAATCCCTCGGTCCATACTAAGTGAAATATTTCAAAAAAAATACCTTGGTGGCTGAAAGCCTGAGCCTGAACTTTGGTTGGCACGTTGGCGTCTCGATGGTCGAAAATTAATCTTCAATCATCCAAGAAATGTGATGGCTTTTCTTTCTTTTTATTTAGTGGATTGCGAGCATCATTGGCTTCGTTTTGGTACGTTTATTTTTGACTGCGCCATGTTAATTTATGTCTTAAATTAACAAATTTTAGGTAGTCGAAATGAAAGACATGTTGATGGTTCGAGCAGTGTAAGGAAAACTGAATTTATTTTATATTTTCTAGGTTACACATTATAAAAAGACAGCTGACATCGCACACAGCAGTGTTGCCAATGTGTATATAATGAATACAGCTACTAATTACTAATGGCGGAGATACACTGGCGAGATACTTGCGACAAAACTCGAGCGAGCGACTTCCGCATCAGTTTACACTTGAGCAATAATAATTGTGATTTTACTGTCGGGGAAGTTCAGCAAGTACAGCTTAATCAAGTTCTCACCAAGCTATTTACACTGTCAGCAAATTTATACTTGCATAATGTGTTCGCGGCTGACAGTGCTGACACAGTGACAGTTTTTAGTTGAAAACATAACATGGCACCAGTAAGATGTGTTCGTACTGCAGCAGCATTATTATTATATAACGGTTACAATAAAAAAAATAAAAAGAGGCGAAGGTTTTGGGTACGAGATTGGATATTACGTAGAGAAAAATATGGGGCCTACAACAAGCTCATTCGTGAGCTGAAAATTGAAGATGCACAACAGTTTAAAAATTTTATTCGCATGTCAGCAGTCGACTTTGAGGAACTTTTATCAAAAGTGGGTAGAATAATTCAAAAGGAAGATACTCATTTACGTGCTTCGATTTCCCCTAGTGAACGTCTTATGGTGACATTACGCTTTCTTGCTACTGGTAAGTATTTTATTTGAATTTACTAGAACGTTATTACTAAAAAGAATTATTTTATATAGGCGACTCCCACCAGTCACTAATGTACCTCTTCAGAATTCCAGCGTGCACAATGAGTGGCTTTATTCCACAAGTCTGCTCAGCACTGTACCAAGAACTGAAGGATACTTACTTAAAGGTATGCTTTATTTAAGGCACATATAAAATAACTACATACAGTTTTACAAACAAAAAACATTTTAATGAAATAAACCTATATGAAAAAATAAATATTTTTCTGCAACTTATAAATCTTGAAACGTTAAATTTGAAAACTGGGTCTGATTCTGAGTATTGTACACAACTGGAGATTCAAGAGATGTGTAATTTGATGCGTTACTTGAATAATCAGAAAATGAAAGCAAAGCTGAGGGCTCCTGTTCTCTTGCATCCTCATCGGATATACGCATTAATGCTTCATTAATTAAACGCTTAACCTTTCGTTTGTTTGCTGGATTCTTTATTTGTCGAATTTCAGATGCTACGTAATCTCCATAAATTTGCTCATCATCAACGGGTTGGTTTAGCAAATGTAAAGCTTTCTGTTGTATTTCCTCTGAAATTATGTTGCACTTACTACTTTTAAGAGAACGCTTCTTTTGTGGCGGGGACTTTGGTCCTGCAGATATTTCAGAATCATTCTTTTCACTTTGAGTGGAGGAGTGCTATAGGGAAAAATACATTTATTTTATTTTTTAAAACTGTCAGTTAAGTTAAAACAAAAACATATATATTTTATTTCAGATTCCCTTAACAAAGGAAGAATGGCTTGGACACTCAAAAAAATATTTGCATAGATGGAACTTCCCTCATTGTATTGGCGCCCTGGATGGAAAACATATAGTTATGCAGGCGCCAAAGAATAGTGGAAGTTACTATTATAATTATAAAAATACACACAGTATTGTATTATTGGCTTTAGTTGACGCCAGTTATACATTTACCTATGTGGACGTTGGTTGTAACGGACGAATATCAGATAGTGGCGTGTTTAATAATTGTACACTCAGTTCAGCTTTAATGAACAACGAGTTGGATTTACCACAACCTTCTCCACTGTCAGGGAGAGAAAAACCAATGCCATATGTAATTGTCGCAGATGATGCATTTCCAATGAAATCATATCTAATGAAACCATTTCCTTACAAGGATCAGCCTGGTCCAAATCGCGTTTTTAATTATCTCTTATCCAGAGCACGAAGAATAGTGGAAAATGCGTTTGGAATCATCGCTAATACATTTAGAATATTAAGAAAGCCAATATTGCTGGAACCGGAAAAAGTAAAGAAAATTGTACTGGCTATATGTACATTGCATAATTTTTTAATGAAACGAAAAGACTCCGCAGGTAGATATGCTCCGGCAGGTTCTTTTGATACGGAAGATGAAGATACGCATGCTGTTGTCAATGGGTCATGGCGACGTGATTCTGGTACGCCCACAGATAATTTATTACCACTTCAGAGATGTGTACAACAAAATTATTCTACCGAAGCTAAACTTGTGTGCAATGAATTTAAAGAATATTTTATATCTGTTAACTGGCAATATAAATATATATAATAATAATAATAGTCTGTAAAGTTTTTACTTAACATAAGAGATTTTTTTGTTAACAAAAATATATAAGTTTTACAGTTACAACGCGAATTTGTCTGTCAGATATTTTTTAGAAAAGAAAACAAATAGGTACTTTTAATTACATAGGTATATGTTTTTATTCGTATGTGTATTGGTTATTAATATTATTGTGCGAAACTAACTAATCTGCTGACTAAAGTCACTGCCAGCATTGAATTATACTCACCGTAGGACTGACGGTAGCTGAGCGGCCAATAGTTGCTGCCAGGGAAGCACGAGTGGCCGGAAATTGGTTCGAATCCAACACGGGGCAGAATTTTTCTGTTCTACCCATGGATGTTTGTGATTGTAAGGGTGGAGGGTAGTGTAGATTAGTAGGTAAAAAGGGCCAAATATGGCCTAATTGCCAGTAAGCTTCAGTACCTTTTACTCACCGTATTTAATATAAATTAGCTTAATACCTAATTACATAATTTAAAAATAGGTAGATACTTACTAAGTTATCTGTACTTAGTTTCAGAATTTTCCACCGAACGCTGAATAAATTTTAAAGCAGAAAAATATGGCCAATTAGATATAGAAACTTCATCTGTTCCTGCACCGCTTTTTTTAGTTTTTATTTTCTTCACTTCCTGCATAAATTGACTTCTGAGGTTATGTAATTTTCGTGATATTTCGTTATTATCTGTATTAAGCTGTGATGCAATTAATGTTAACGCATCTTGTTTTTTATTTCTGTTTCTGTAACCTACAGAATGCACATCCCACAGAACAGAATTTTCTTCGTACAGAGTTATTAACATTTGTATTTCCGTATTTGTCCAAACCTTCTTGTTCTCCGCCATGTTGAACTCGCACTGTTCACTCGCCAAATATCGAAACAAACTGGAACTATTGTAATAAATTGCGCAAACGCAGTTATACCTATTTAGACTTGCAAGTTAGAATGTTGCGTGAGTTCTTGTGCGAATGCAATAATATCGACTCACCGCGCTGTTTAGACTAATGACAGCAGTGTCTGACAGAACTCGCGCTTGTTTTCTCGCTAGTCTACAGGCCCCTTAAGGTTAGTCATGTGACACTTGTTGTCCAATCTTCTCCGTAATGTTTCATTAGCAACATTTCAACGCCTCTTATTTTAAGAGAACTTTAATACGTAAAGTTGTGAGAAATTAGACGATTGTTAAATTAAAGAACAAAATCTTTAGTATTTATTCTATTTAATTTATAATATTTAGTATATCTTGTGCAGGAGAAACTATAAAAACATAAAAAACATTGTATGTCTAGATAACAATAAAATTTAGTATACAAATAACTTACTTTGAGGTTTATATTTTAATATCTCCCCTTTAATCGCTATGTAATGTATGTAGTAGTAATGCACTTGATCCAATTTTCCTGGCTTGAGGTGGTTTGATGATGGTTGTCACCACACCCTACGCAAAGTTAGAGTTTTTTAATTTTTCATTTTTAATTTTCCTTTCTTTTCTTTCTTCTTTTTTACGACAAGCTTCCAATTTCTTTTCGGCTAAAACTCTACGCTTGCTAATATTATCCTCTCCTGTTAATGCTGTAGCCAACTGGCGCCAACGCTTTTTGTTAGACGTTAATGGTACAGGGCAGATAACATTTTACCTTAAAAAGAAAATATATTTGTAGGTATACCTAGTATCTATATGAATTATGGAAATATTTAAGTAATGCTCGGTCGACCCACTACTGACATGGGACTAGTGTCCATCTAAAATAAGAACAACCAAGCCATCAGGTTTTCGAGGAACAAACTGAATTTTAATCCAATCGAAAAATATTGTGTTTACGTCGATTTTTTGGACATGACAACTATCGATCCGGGTGGCATTCCAACTTCGTACTTATTCCTTTTATTTTTACCTTTAAAAATACAGGTTTGTGGAGTAAACATACCCTCAGTGTTGCAACATATGTAGTGAGCATGTACTCCTCCAAAGAAGATTGGGTAGCTGAAAAGAAAAAGTCAAGTTAAATATTACGCATTTAATAAAGATCTGGCTATGACCGGGCCCTTATACAACATATAAACAAAAGACAATCCTTGTAATAACCTATAAGTATAATCAACAATGTCACCTGTTAGTTGCGACCTTCTGTCCGTGAAATGATGGGGCTGGGGGAGCCGGAGAGACAAATAGGCTATAGTTTCACTTGATACAACGTGGTGCACCACCATCTAATTCCAATAACGAAACAAATACCACTCGCAATTATTATTTGATAATTGTGTTGCGTTTGGCTATACAGATGGAGTGCCGTAACGCGGTGTTACTTTACAACAGTTTTGGAACGCTCTTCAATAAAAAACCGAGTAATATTAAAATAATATGTTAGCGGCCAACATATATAATAATATAAACAATTACCTACCTCTCCATAGTCTAATTATTTAAGAAATGTGACTCATTATGTGTTTTTTATTTTTTTTTAAATTGTGTAAAGTCACCTGGCTATGGTGTCAAATTACACGTATATTAAAAATATAGGAATACGTAAAGATAACCATCCTTGAGGTTACTTTACACATTCAGGATCTTTTAAAAAATGTTAGAAGTGGTACATAAAAAAATTAGGAAAAATTATAGGCAATCAGAATGGTTAAAAATGCTTTATTTCTGCTTCAGGTACATTATAAAAGTCAATATAATACCTATAAGTACATGAACATAAAATATAAATTCTCATATCACATTAAAATCAAAATAAACAAACATTCTTTGGTACCTAGGTATGTATAACTAAACTAGATACCTATAAGTATTATATATTATCACATAAACAAAAATAAACAAAAATTCTTTGGTAGGTAGATTATGTAGAACCAGTCTTAAAACTTGTATTTTTCAGTCTCCAATTCGAATGCGTAAGTACCTCTTCTCGCGGTTGGCATTTTTAAATAGGTAACTATGTCGTCTTCATCTTGTAGTGATATGTCATCTAGGGGAGGGAAAACAAATATATTTTTCTGTTTTTGTCTCATATATTTGATGACCAATTCGGGACGATCATACCTGTATAATCTGGCCCACAAAGTGTTTAAGAGACTTTTTAGAGGCTAGTTTAATAACGACAAAGTTGCCCACTTTTGGTAATGCAATTTCTTCACATTCTCTTCAACCTCATTTTTATTGCAACTTCCCCCGGTGTTGACTCATTCTCATCAGATATTTCCATATTTTCTTTATCAGAATCATCAATATCTGAACACAGATCTTCAAAAGAAACGGACTTTCCCGGCTTAACTTTTAACATTTTTTTCCTTTCACGTGGTTTTTGAGTTGATGGCTGGCTGCGGGACTCTTTCAAATATGTTAGCAAAGAGCCGTTAATATTTTGTGTGACGTTATGTTGCTCTGCTCTTGTCGAAGGCAGCCTTTTCAAAACCTCCTGCGGGTTGAAAGGACATATCCCAGTTGCGCGAAAGGCTGCAGCAATTGTCTTTTTGTTGGTCAAATCTAATTTTTCCATTAATTTTTTGAGTAAAGAAGGGAAAGAGGTTTTATTCAAAGTTTGCTCACGAGGATTCTGAATTTTGTAGTTCATAAGAATACCTCTCCATGTTCTCTTAAGCGGTGCGTAATATCCGATATCCAAAGGTTGGATAATGTGGGTGGCATTTTTGGGCAAAAAAATGAACCTAATATTATTCCGTTGACACTCTTTTATGATGGAAATATTAAGGTGGGATGACAAGTTATCCCATACAACAACTTTTGTTCCTTCAAGTTTTTTTGCCCAAGGAATAACAATAGTGTCAAACCAATCTTCAAAAGTGAATGAATCAAACCATCCTGATTTCGATCTATTATACCGGGCCATTTTAGGTCCACCAATCGTCCACTGGTTATACAATATCTCCGCCTTATACACTGTATATGGTGGCAAAACTTCACCATCTGCCGTGACTGCAAACATAATGGATATTGATACTTTCGATGTATTCAGTACACGTTCTGGGTACTTCATACCGCGCCTAAATATGCACTTGGTAGATCCGGGATCGTCTGATAGTTTCGTTTCGTCAAAGTTCAAAATATTAGAAGGTGGGACATTTTCTATACTTTTCTGCAAATTTTGGAAATATTCTACCATTTCTTCTTCAGATTTCTCTGCGCGACATCTTTTTATATTTTGGCAGCTTCTCTTAGACAGCCTGTTTTTATGTCGATCCAATAAATTCAATACCCAATCATGGCCTGGCAAATTATCTCCTTACAGGTTTTCCAGCTTGTTCCAAATATTTCTTGACTAGTACTCTCAGATCAAAAGAAGTTAAAGGACTTCCAAATTCAGCAGCGACGAGAAGAACGTCAACCAGGTGTCTCTCTTCAAGTTCGGTTAATTATACTTGACCGCCAACAGTATTTGTATGTTTCAATTTTACTTTATTCCATAGGGTCTTCCAGGGAATGTTGTACCGTGCTGCAGCTTCCCTATAGGAAACGCCATTTTCCCGAACAGTCCGAATAGCATTTTCAATATCAGAATCTGTGTAATCTTTGTACTTCCTACTCCCTATTCTTCGCTTGTAGACGCGTCCCATAACGATTTAACCTGCAAAGAATAGACAATTGTTACATAAACACATAGTATTAACACATAGAATATGTGTCAAGTCACCCTGCTGAAGAAAAAAATTCATAACTTTTTACAGAAACGTTCTACTCTGTTCTATTCAACGTTCTATTCATTTGAAATCCTAAAGTTGTGATCTACAATGGTTGTATGAACTAGTACAAAGGCAGACAATTCCATATCAGCGAGTATTTTAGAGTACGAATGCTTAGCACTTACCTCTTACGAATTCGTAATGAAATTAGCGCGTCGCACAACCAGCCAGAGCGGCGATCTGACGTACACTAAACTATTCCCGCCGTTCCGTGGCCACAAGTCAATTTGTGACCTTGACTGTTGAGTAGCAAATATGTTACACCGCTGCCACATTT